ACCATTGGGTGCCCTTAAGGTCGCCGCGCTATGCAAAGAAGCGGGATTTCCGGAAGGAGTTGTTAATGTCTTGAACGGACCTGGTCCTATAACTGGAGATGCAATCGCTAAACATATGAAAATTGATAAAATCACTTTTACTGGTAATTTTGTAATTTCTTATTTTCCATTCTCTTGTGAAATATTTTAAAATAAGATTATTAAATTTTTTCTCCACCAAATTATCAATTTGTTATCTTTATATTATCCTAAAGGATCAAATGCAACAGGAAAATCGCTATTAAAGGCTGCAAGTGAAAGTAACTTGAAACAGGTATCTCTAGAATTGGGTGGAAAATCACCAAACATAATTTTTGCAGATTCAAACCTTGACCAAGCAGTTAAATGGGCTCATATGGGAATATTCTTTAATCACGGACAATGTTGTACTGCTGGATCTCGTGTTTATGTTCAAGATAGTATTTATGATGAATTTTTAACAAAGTTTAAAGATTTTACTGAATCAAATAAAGTTGGAGACCCCTTTGAAGCGGATACTTATCAAGGGCCACAGGTTTCTCAAATGCAATTTGACAGGTACAGTATAATGCACTAGTGGTACTAATGATTCAAATTAAATATATTTAGTATCTTAGCAACAAATTTAAACGTTCTCGATATTATTCAGGGGATTATTTAAACCCTATGTAATATAAATTTCTTTTAAAACTTTAGACGAGTATATCCCGACGACACAAATTTGATGAATTTTTTTTTTTTTTAATTCTACAAATATATTAGAATTAAAATAAAAAAAAATTCCATCAAAATTTGGATAGGTAGCTGTCGAGATATCTTTGTTCAAAATTTTAAAAAGAATAAAATTCGATGATATTTTAATTCTATTTATTCATAGAATTCAAATAAAAATTTTTTATGGAATTAATCTAGTTGGTTATTGAGATATCTTTTGAACGAAGGTACTTGATGACCACCCAATTAAGTTTGATAATTCTTTTATTATTTTATTTTAATTCTATATATTTGTAGAAATAAAATATATATTTTATCGATATACTAGTTTAAAAAAATTTCACATAGAGCGCTAAGAACCAATTGCTCAGTGGCTTTCGTAAGCCAGTAAAATAATAATCCCCTATTATATTAATTTTTTGATTATGTTTCGGACTCGTTTAAATAAATGATAAACATCTTAATAGCGACTAGGGTGGATATTCTGTAGAGAATGGTATTAAAGGTTATAATTTTTTTTTTTTAATATTGTGACTTGCGATAGAATTATGAAATATATTGAATGCGGAAAGAAAGAAGGAGCGACGTTAGTTACGGGCGGAGAGAGACATGGTGATCAAGGATATTTTATTAAACCAACGATTTTTACAGACGTTGTGAGCACAAATATTCATAATAACGATAATTTCAAATTTTTTAAATCAAATATCTTATTATTAACGTTATAAAATTTAGAATGAAAAAATGACCATAATGCAAGAAGAAATTTTTGGTCCAGTAGTAGCGATTTCCAAGTTTTCGACCGTGGAAGAAGTGATTGAAAAAGCTCATTTAACGAAATTCGGATTGGCAGCTGCCATATTTACTAATGATCTCACTAAAGCTATTAAGTTATCCAATGAATTAAGAGCTGGAACCGTTTGGGGTATGTTAATTTTTAGTAAATAAATTTCTTTTTAAAGCGATAGTTTATTACAACGGCTAAATATTTTTCTAAAAAAAAAAAAAAAAAATTATTAGTTAATTGTTACAATCTTGTTAATTCAAGATTGTAAGTATGAGTTTTTATTATGTTAATAATTGTCTTATACGTATATAACCATAACTTTTGCTAATATAATTCTTCGTATTCACTATTTTTAATTTCATATGAAGACCTTTTGGAGGATACAAAGAATCTGGTATGGGACGTGATCTTTCAAAGTATGCTTTAGATCAGTATACTCAAGTTAAGACTGTTCAAATTAATTTGGAATAATCATACGTACAATATGTAAATGAGATAGATTTAAGGAATGTTCTGAGATGTTTTTTGTCGGAAACTAAATGCACTTATGATCCAGAACCATATATACTGTACTGTACATATATATATATATATATATACAGTATACATATATATATATATAGTATACATATATATACAGTGTATATATATATATATATAGTATAAATACAGTATACACATATATATAAATATACATTTATTAAAATTTTTATCGGTAAAATTTAGAGTTAAAGTTGGATGTTGGAATTGGCTTTAAGTGAAGTTTTTGGCAATTTTAAGATATAGCAGATATGGTGTCCAGCATTCATAGTTTCATTTTAGTAAACACATATTCTATTAAAAAATCAGATCGATAATAAATTGTATTTCTGTTAACTTATTTTCAATTATGCCCCAACGCTACGTAATGTTGGATTAGAATTATTTTTTTATTTCTTGGCAGCAAAAAATATCTTATTTTTTTAACAGATAGTGCATTGATGATTACTCTTGGGACGCCCACGCCCGAGGTTGCTTGCGCCTAAAGTTACACAGGCTAGGCCAAGACAAGCTCCTTAAATTAGATCTTCTTGCATGCATTAAGTTGTAGTTTCGTACAGATGATAACTTAGACGATACGTATTAGGAATGGTTTTTTACTATCTAAAAGTGTTAAGATCAATTAAAAATGTATAATGTTAATATATAGTATTATTAAATGTCACAGAACTCAAAAATTTTACATGATTTTCAAATCTTCACTAACGTTAATCTGTCACATTTAATTGTTTTAAAGATTAGAACTGAAAACTTTAAAAATCAAGTGCTATAAATAATTATAATATTAATATTTAACACTCAATATAGCAAGAAGAACCTTCTCGATCTATATACGTACTAAATTTAAAAGTAATGCTTATTGATTATTTCCATATATGTTTATCGATATCATTACGTATAATGCGTAGCTATTTTTAAAATTGACAATTACTTCTCTCAATATGGTGAATCATTCAAGTTATTAATAAAATTTTTTTTTTAAAACTTCATCGATTCAGAGTTTATTATATACAGTAATAATAAATTCTCTACAACCAGAGAATTTTAGATGGAATTCAGGTTTCATTACGTCAAGAGTTCAAATAATTGTTACGGGTTAGATAAATCTAGAATATTAAATTTTAAAAATAAAGTTTCTTTATTAATTTTATAAAAAACTTTACTATTAATAATCTTTACAAGATGAAAAATACATAGTATATATAGTATCTAAAATATATGTAATAACAGATATGTAAATTCATTTTCGAAACTTTATTAACTGCGGTTACGTAATATAGATATATATTACTGTATTAAAAAAAAATAAAACCAAAATTGAAATTAATTTGTACTTTGAAATTCAATTATTGATGTATATAGTTACACTAAAAGAAACCAATCTCGGGCATGAAATTTTAAATTTTGAAATATTAAAAATTTTTTTCACAGAATTGATTACGTAATAAAAAGTCCACCATTTATTATTGAATTAGTATTAACAATATATATAATCATATAATTAATTATTAGAATAAATCTCGTGTATAATTTATATATTCAAATTGCTCTGCTTTAGAAAATCAAGACACAATTTATTATCATTTAAAATTTTAAATTTAAATATACCCTTTTTTTTTGAGTGAAACAAAAGTTGACATTGTAACCATCCAAAATTCCTAAGGATTCCTGAGTCATTCAAGTTCTTCATTTCGGGATATGGACGAATTAGTAGATCGAGTTTGACATTGTGTCTGTATCACAATATAATTTTATTTAGTAACTAGTAATGGTAATAAAAACCTTTTAATATATAATTTCTATTGTGAATCAAAACTACTTCCCGAAAAGGACTTTCTATTGACGTCAAAAATTTTGATTTAGATAGTATCGCCTATTGTTCAAGTAATAAATTAGTAAATTGGTACGTTTATTCAGATGATCAATCCTTATTTCACAAGAAATGGTCTAAAAAAAATTGTGCTCATTATAAGAACCTATAAGATAATAATCAAGCCAACTGCATGCGGTTTCACAGATTATACACAATTCTTTTTTTTAACTGTAAATAGGTCAAATGATGTAACTGAATTAGGGAACGAAGTCTTTATAAGGAAAAATGGATGGTTTATCACTTAAATGTTTGCATAAACCATAAATTTTGTACTTTTAAAATTTTTAAAACCGTAAAACAATATGAAGTTGGTTAAAAATTATAAAAAATTGGTATCAAAATTTCTATACACGTGGTTAGATTAAAAATGGTCATTCGTTTCACAAAACCAGTTAACACAAAGTAGTGATACCAAATCGAACGAATCAATTTAGCAGGGGGTGAAAACTTAAATGTTTCACTGCGTTTTCGATCGAATTTGTCACTTATCATAGTTTTTTTTAAAAAGGTCGAATTCATCGTTCGGGCAATGATCGAAAGAATTCGGTAAAATCGTGTGACATTTAATTATTCTAAAAGATCCGTACTACTTTTAACATGAAACAAGTAAAATTATATAAACATATCAATTTAGGGAATGGCGTTTTCCCCCGAGTGAACTTTTTTTTCACTTGTCTTTATTCATTTTTTTGAATTTTGACCCAAGAATATTTTACGCTTATTTTATAAAAACAAAAAAAAAATTTTTTTAAAGATAGCAACGTTAAAAATTTCTTAAATTATCGCTGCAAACAAAGTAAAGAAAAAAAAAACACGCACACTTAATACTTTGTATTTTGGTTCCACGAATACTGCAAATCTAAAAAAAAAAAAAAAAGTTTTTTTTTATAATTTTAAATTTTCGAAGTAATCGTGAATAATCATATATATTTAATCATTTTTTATTGATGAATGTTATCCACTTCATCTTAATTCAATTATCTTAATTCAATTATTTTAATTCAACTATCTAATAGACTTATTGAATTCATTTATTCAAAAGCTTTTGTAATAATAATTTCTTAAACAATGTCTAGAGTGGACTCTGGTGCATTTTGCGAAATGTGTATAAAATGTAAAGAAAGGTTACCACATAATCAATGGTGTCAACAATGTGAGAGTGCAAGTTTTAAAGAAGCTTCTAAATCATGGACTAGTGGTAATCATGACTTGGATAAATTTATAAAAAAAACGCAATTGAAGGCTGCCGGTCACGCTGATTACTTAGAATGGATCCCTTATGAGAGGATCACTGATATTACATTTATCGCGTACGGCGCTTACGGTAGCGTTTCTTGTGGTACTTGGGTAGATGGTCCGAGATGGAATTGGAATGATGATTCAAAAAGTTGGGAAAGAACTGGCCCAAAAGAAGTTGCACTTAAAACAATTAATAACTCTCATAATATTTCTCCAACTTTTTTTAACGAGGTTAGTATATATTATTATTATTATTATTATTATTATTATTATTATTATTATTATTCTTATTATTATTATTATTATTATTATTATTATTTAACTAATTAAATTGCTTTTTCAATTCGTTTCAAATTTTTAATATCTTATTTAAAAATTATATAGTTGAAATCGTTTTACGGTTGTTCGATTGGGAGAAATCGAATTATCCATTGTTATGGTATTTCTCGTGATCCTCAAACCAAAAATTACATTGCTGTTGTTGAATATGCAAGTCATGGCTCGTTGATTAATTATCTTTCCAAAAACTTTAAAACTCTCACTTGGGACAAAAGATTAAATATTCTAAGCGATATTATTCAAGGTCTTAAAAATATTCATGAAGCTAATTCTCTCCATAAAGATTTACATGCTGGTAACATTTTGCTTCACCACTCGGATAATAAGGATTATACCGCTATCAGTGATCTTGGGTTATGTCATTTTGTATCTAAAGGATTAAAATTGCAAAATCCTAATGTTGTATATGGCGTGATTCCTTATATCGCTCCTGAAGTATTACAAGGAAGACCACACACAAAAGCTTCAGAAATTTATAGTACAGGTGTTTTAATGTGGGTTATCTCTTCGGGCAAACAACCATTTGAGGATCGTGGTCATGATTTTCAACTTCAAATAGATATATGCAATGGTATGCGACCAGAAATCACTCCAGATACTCCTCAATTTTATCAAGATTTGATGGAGAGTTGTTGGAATCAAGATCCAAAACAACGTCCAAACATTCAAACTATACAGCTTGATCTTAAAGATTTTATCAAAGGTGCTGGAGATTCTCGAAAACAAATTGAAGAAGCTGAAAAAATACGCTTGGAATTACTATCAGAACAAATTATCATAACTAGTCCCCCGAAAACACATAAAGTATATTATACCACCAGAGAAATAAAGATTATACATGTATCTCCTACGAAATTAAATCTTGAAATTTACAGTAAGTTAATCAAATTTTATTTTTTCGGCTATTTTAATAGTAACGTTAGTCGTAACCCCCATTTATATCATTAATAATAAATTACGTTATTTTAACCAGATTTTAAGCCAAAGTTTAGTAAAAAAATGAAGTTTGGTGTAAAGAAACCTGAACAAACGCTTGCAATGCCAAAAGAAAAGATTCATTTTCAAATGGATTCTGATAATGTCAATGATACACGAAATTTTGACCCTTTCAGTAACTTAAATCAAACAACTCCCATCGTATCGTTACCCGAAACTTTTAATAATACTAATTTAAATCTTGAATTAACTGGTGAATAATTTCTTCTGATTTTGTGTTTAAATTATATTTATCTAATACTGACATTATATTTATCTAATACTGACATTATATTTACGCTCTTTTTTTTTTTTTTTAGATTACACTAAAAAATCAAAGAAAATTAAAAAAGAGATTGCCCTTGAAAAAAATGCTTCGGCATCGAAATACTACAGATCAGATTGCCAATGTTCTATCATGTGATTTAACATCCTAACGAATTCTCTCTCTCCAGATTAATTTTAAAAAGCTTTTACTTTATTTTTTGTATTTTTATATATGTATGTTTAATAGTTTATATAACTTTAATTCTTTATTATTCGTGTAATTAATACAGTAATATAGAGAAATTAAAGGATGTGAATATTAGATACTAGAGCATTTTTTTCGTTTTTTT